CAAATCCCCCGTTTTTTCTAATGTTTTATATCTGACAGTTGGAAAAATACTAAAGTTGTCAGGACCTTCTCTTTAGACAAATGGGTTACCAAACACCTAATATTGTTTAGTGGCATTTCACAGCAAGAACTGTGAAACCCCTCATTCAGGTTAGATTAAAGAATATGGTCTGAAAAAATATGAAACAGCAGCCATGTTGAAACTAAGCAAATCTAAGCCTCCCAATGCAGAAATGGGAAATGACCTGACAACCTTACATATAACCCTTAAATTTGACTATGGAAGAAAGGTAAGTACAAATTAATAAATAAAAATTTAATAAGTAAAGAAATAAATAATTTGTATTAACACTCATCCAGGCAGATTAAAAAAGAATCTTCTACTGGCCTTAATTTGGGGCACTTTTTATTTCAATGACAATTCCAGTGTTTTGGTGGGTATTAACAATGGCTGATATCCACAGGAATTTCTTTGAGTGCAAAATTGAGGGTATTCTATAATAATCAAACATCAAGAGACAAAAAAAAATAACACATTTACATGTGGTGGAACATTTGTTTTCAGTAACTGTCAGCCCTTCATGTTTGCAAAAAATCTAAACAACACATATACTATAGATTTGTTGGGATAACTGTCATTGCCATGTTTTTGTTTATCAACAACAACAACAAAGAAACTGTGCATGGCAAGTTGCTGAAAGTCAGGAAATATTTTTTACAACTCTTCAGATGAGTTTGTCATAAAATGCATACCTAAAACACAATAAAACATCACTTTGGGATACTAAAATGTCCTGTTTGCCTGGATGAGAGTTAATATTGAAATAAACCAAGATAAAATATAAGACAGCATTTTCTACTCACTAATACAGGTACACATATAAGTCTACAACTTCCACTAACCTTCCTAATGGAATGTCACTGCTTACTCGCTTGTTCATTTTGAGGTTTGCTTGCAACTTTTTATTACTACTACACTGCAGCACTGTTTATTTTACATAATACTCTCCCTAGACAGAAGAGCCTTTGTACATAAGACAGCATGACAACTGCTTTTTGAGCTGTAAAGGAAAAGAAAAAGAAAAAAAAGAACAGAACATTAGACATATTACTTAATGAAATATTTAAAGTTTGAGGCACTTTTAGTCTGTATCCATCTATTCTGTAGTGTGTAAAGGTAAAGGTAAAGGTAAAGGTATTCCCCGTTGACAAGGTTGTCAAGTTATGTCCGACCATAGTGGGCGGTGCTCATCTCCATTACTAAGCTGAAGAGCCAGCATTGTCAAGACTACTCTGTGATCATGTGGCCAGCATGACTGCACAGAACACTGTTTACCTTCCCACCAAAGTGGCATCTATCTATCTACTTGTATTTGCATACTTTCAAACTGCTAGGTTGGCAGAAGCTGGGACTAGTGATGGGCGCTCACCCCATCATGCAGCACCCGGGCCTCGAACTGCCAACCTGCTAATCTTGCAATCAACAGAGTCAGCGTCTTAACCACTTGAGCCACTGTACTTAATGCTAAATAGTTTCCAAGTCTCTAAATGCTTAAGAAGATTCACAAATGTCATTCCTTTTGAACTCCCTAATTCTAATTTTGGCAAAAATGTATCTATAATACCATGGTGTTCTTGATGAAGCAAAACATACATCCAGATGACAGCTGCTAACTCTGTAAAATCATTCATCAATTTCCAACAAAAACTATTGTTTGTGTTTAGCGAACAAAACTGACACTACTTGGTCTGCAACACTTCATTTAATCCTAGGCTGCAAATTTAAGAATAAGACAGAGAACATGACTGCTTGAGCAGCAGAGCCCCAGTGGCGCTGTGGTTAAATGGCTGTACTGCAGCTCAATACCAGCCAGGGCTCAGGCTAGACTCAGGCCTGCATCTTTCCGAGGTCGCTAAAATGAGTACCCAACTCTTGGGGGGCAATGAGCTTACAGTTGTAAACCACTTAGACATCCCATAGCGTGATATGAAGCTGTATATAAATGAAGCTGCTTTGCTTTTGCTTTGCTTTGCTTTGGAGTTCTGCAAATCGCATAGTGGTAATTGTATGTGGGGGTGGTGGTTGGGTTACCAGAATATAACCAGCCACAATGCATTTATTACATTGCAGCAACACTGGTGGTGACAAACCAGAGCTGGATGAGAAGTTAATGGTAAATGTTTTCTTACTAATAATAAACTCCTGATTTATTTAACCATTCCTACTGATTTAACCATTCCTACTGGTAGGAGGACTGGCTAAATATCCTAAGGCAGCAGATCCCATCTGATCTTCTAAACTGAGGGCCTTTACAGACTGCCAGAAATAATGCAGCTTGAGTTCACTTTAACTGCCCTGGCTCAGTGCTAGGGAATCATGGGAACTGTAGTTTATTGTGGCACCAGAGCTCTGATAGAGAAGGCTCAATGTCTCAGAAAAAACTAGTTCCCATGATTCCCTAGAACTGAGCCGGGACAGTTAAAGCGGACTCAAGCTGAATTATTTCTGGCAGTCTGTAAAAGCTTTAAGTGGATCAGCTCTGGTTTGTACCTGGATGGCAGACTGCCAATGAATACCAGGTGCTGTAAGTTAGATTTCAGAGGAAGGAACTGGCAAACCCACGTCTGTGTATTCCTTCCTGGCACATATGCATACATTAGTAAGAGAAATCATGTGAAGACTGGCAATATGCACAAACATGCTGCCCATTAACAATAGGGCAGGACTCTCCCAGATTCTGGTTTATTGGTTTATTCCAATATGGCCAGCAATGTAAGGACTTTTGTTGTTGTTGTTAATTACCTTCGCATCAATCTCGACCCATGCCAACCCTATAGATGAGACATCTCCAGGCCCCCCTCTCCTCTACTGCTCTGCCCAGTTCCTGCAAACTCATATTCATGGTCTCTTTAGTAAAGTCCATCCATCTAGCATGTGGCCTTCCTCCCTTTCTATTTCCCTCCACCTTTCTTATCATTATTGTCTTTTCCAACCATTCATGCCTTCTTGTGATGTTTCCAAAGTATGACAGTCTAAGTCTTGTCATCTTGGCTTCTAGGGATATCTCTGGCTTGATCTGCTCTAGGACCTATTTGTTTGTCCTTTAGGCTGTCCATGGGATCCTCAACACTCTTCTCCAGCATCAGATCTCAAATGCGTTGATTTTCCTCCTATCTTCTTTCTTGACTATCCAGCTCTCACATCCAGACATGCTAATAGGGAATATGATGGCTTGTATAATTCTGACTTTTGTGCTGAGTTGTATGTCTTTGCATTTTAGGATCTTTTCTAGTTCTTTCATAGCTCCCCTCCCCATTCTTAATCTTCTCCTGATCTCCTGGCTGCAGTCCCCATTCTGATCAATGTTTGATCCTAGATATGAGAACTCTTTTACTATTTGTATTTCCTCATTGTCTAGCTTGAATGAGTATAAGTTCTCTGTTGTCATTATTTTTGTTTTCTTTTTGTTCAACGCTAAGCCTGCCTTTGCACTTTCTTCTTTGTTCTTCCTTAGTAGTTGTTC